TCTCCTAAAAACACTTCTCCCCAACCCCAACAGAAATCCCCCTCACTCCCACAGAAAACCATCTCTGCACAGAAAACCCCTTCACACCAGAAACCCTCCACCCCCAAATCTTCATCTCCTTCACACTGCAAACCGTTCTCTCCTCCCAAGAACAAATCACCATCCCCTCAAGGACAAATTATCCCTTACCAACACCAACAGATCATCTCCTCTACAACCTCACCCCAACTGAAAACCTCCTCACCCCAAACCAAAAATCCTTCTCCCTGCAAATCCCAACCCTCAGTCAGATCCAGATCACCATCACCTCCACCCTCTCCTCCACAACAACAGCATGCTCCCTCACATCAACAAGAAAACCCCTCCATCAACAAATCCAGAACTGCTTCTCCACAGCCTACACCACAAGATGCAGCCACACCTATCTCCCCTCAACACTCTGTGGCTTCTACCCCCATCAGGAAACCTATCTTCAGGGTGCCCTCCTCTTCCAGTGACAATGATGGATTTCTTACATCCTTCATTGCTGCTGATGAAACATCCAAACGGAGGAAGACCCCTCCTCAGAGTGAAGAACAACCCAGAAGGCCTCCTATGCCTAAATCAAGAGGTCTAGGTATGCCTGGGAAAACAGAATCCAAAGAAGATAAGCCCCAAATTTCCTTCAATCAGTTTGTCACTGCAGCTGAAGACTTTGGTGGTAAAATGCTTGATGGCATGGATCAATTGGCTGAGATTAACACCAAGCACCATGAACATCTCACCTTTGTTCACAATCATCTTGAGGCTGGACTTCAGCATATCTCAGAGAAGGTTGAAGCTCCGACCCAGACATTGGTCACCTTCATGGAATCATCATCTGCAAAGCTTAATGCTGTTGCCAGAGAAGTGGATGGTGTCCACTCTGTTCTCTACTCCCAGTCTCAGATTCTCAACAAGCAGAGTAAGCAACTCAAGGATATAACAGAATCCCTGGACATTGTACAATGGTATGAAGACCAATCTGCTGAGAAGTTTATGCAGCTACAACTCCTGAATAATGATCACAAAGATCAAGTGGCCACCCTGATCAAGTGGCCACCCTGATCAAGAAGGATCAAGAAAGGTATCAGAAGTTGATACTACTTGAAGCTGGCTCTCAGGACATCAAGTCTGCTCTTGATCGTCAACAGAACTTAATAGAAGGTCTGACCTCTGTCACGTAGACCTTGCCAGAAACTCTTGAGCAGATAGCCATCTCCCAGGCAACAGAGTTCCAGAAAATCGCCATGATGATCTCTGACCTGGATGATGCCAAAAATGGGGAAAAGGAAAAGGACCCCCAACAGAGAAAATTGCCCCCTAGGCCAACTGCTGGGCCCTCATCTGATATTGACCCAATTCCTTACTTCCAGGCCTCCCAACAGAAGAAGAGAGAAGCTGGTACTTCAAGACCTTCTTCTCCTCGCAGAGGTTCTACCAAGAAGAAGAAAGTTTTCAATTTCACTGAGTGGAGATTGGGTGGCTCTCAGAAAATTGACAGAGCTCAATTTGAAGAGATGAAGGCTAAAATGACTCCTACCCAACAACAGCACCTCTATCTGGACAAAGATGGTGTTGTCAGAGTTAGGTATGGAGGATCTCTTGAAGAAGCAGAAGAATGGTACAAGAAGAATATTGTCCCAGGGAAGACCATACATGAAGGTGTCCTTAACTATTTGGACTGTAAGCTTTCTCCTATATGGGCATCTTATTAAAGGTCTGGCAATCTGGTCAAAATCAGAGCTGAAATAAACGAAGAACTGCTCAGGCTTCAAAGACTAGAGGAAGAAGCTCTACAGGCAGCTAATCTGGAGAATGTGTAAGGTTTAAACCCTGTAATATCTATCTAATAAAATCACATCTCTGCCTTCTAACTTTGAAGTGCTTTTCCTCAAATTCTTGTCTTTTTGCCTTCTGCTTGTGTTTGTTTATTTCTGTTATATTCTGCTATCTGAATGTATCGTACTCTTACTATTTTCCTATGCCAAGTTGCCCACCAAGATTTTAATGAAAAGTTTTAAACTTTAAATTTTTATGGTGAAGGCACTTCTCTCGAAATAGTTAAAGGGTTTTGGCATCATCAAAAAGGGGGAAATTGTAAGGAATAATTGTATTTAGATTTTGATGATGCTATATTAATTAGGACTGTAGAGTACCCCTTTAGAAATTATGTATTAGAATTTTCCCTTGTAAAGTTCTTAGCATATTCGACTACCAGAAGGCCTCTCTACCAGAAGTCCTCCAGACAGAAGATCTTGGTTCTCTGTCTAGGAACAGAGAACGTCAGGGTCTCTGTTACCCTTTAGCTTGACAGAAACCCTACTGATCCTCTGTAAGCTACTTTCAACAGAAGTGCTCATGATCTTCTCTGAATCAGTTCTCTGCCAATAACACCAGAAGGTCTGACACTTGGAAGAAATCCACAAAGCCGGGAAGTCAACTTAAAGATTCCTTCAACGGCTAGGAGTATGAAACGGAAAAGCTACAGTGCTCGCATTAAATGCTCATTTAATGCTCCCCATGCTCCGTGGAGTAATTGCAGATGATTGGCCGCAATGTCAGGATTACTTTATCCCGAAATAGTAACCCGCCAACTTTACCGGGTCCTACTGGTCAAGTCAACTGCTCGCGCATTAAATGCAGTTGTCCTCCTACTCCTCCAACGGGAAGACAACCTCAGTATAAAAGATACACTACGAAGAACAACCATAGAACTCGGAACCTTGATTCAACTTTGCTATCACATTGCTACAAGCAAGATATTCAAACTCTGAAAAGCAAAAGCCTCCTTGAGATTCAAACTCATTATCCTCTACAAGATAAGGCAGAAGTTGGAAAAATACTTTTTCCAACTCAAGCAAAGTTCCAAGTGTTCTTCAACTCTTCAAGCTCATCACATACAAATCTTTTGTAACGAAGCTAGTTGGAGGAACCCCTGTTTCAACAGAAAATCTTCTTGCTACAAGAAGGACGTCCGAATAACTGGAGTAGTGAAGTGGTGATACTTCAAAGAAACTCAGTGAAAGGACCAGTGTTAAAGGAAGCCAGGCGGTGCATCCCAGGACACATCTAGGCTTGAAGAAGACGTGGAGTGCTTCTTAAGTGCTAGGACTAAGGCTTTGTAAACGTCAGTTTTTACAGCTTAGTGGAACAGTGGATTAGAGGAACGAGTTGTTCCTTGAACCACTATAAAAATCCCTGGTGTCGTTTACTTACTGTTTTTAATACTTGCACTTAGATAGAACTGTATAACTCCTTGGACTTGGTATTTGTGTTCAGCAGAACTTGTTCTTCGAGTTAACAGAAGGCCTACTGCCTTTGCTTCTCTGAGGCTAACAGAACTCCCTGCCAGAACCCCATCCGCTGCCAGTCTGTTCTTTCAACAGAACAGGCTATTCTGTAAATCTGGTACTTAGTCTAAAAAGCTAAAAACCAATACAGTCTATTCACCCCCCCCCCCCCCCTCTAGACTGTATCCAGTATAACCGGGACCAACAAGAACATGACACAAAAGAAGGATTAATGTGTCGCCCATTAATTGTGGAATTGTTGCAACACTCGTAGAACCAAAAATCAAATTTATTCCACTTTAATTACTTTCACTTTAAATGTTTACTTTTTCTAAATTTTCTTTTTCCTCTCTTTTGACTAAATTACTTTATTTAAGCACTTGCCTAAAAAATCGTGTCATTTATCCATTAGAACCTTTGAAGGGGGCGCAGGGAGTACAATATCTTAAAGTGATATTTTTAGCCATACCACAAATAAATGAAAGATAATGAAAGTTAGATGAAAGTTAGCGTGCCTAGGGTGGTTTCATAAAGTATGCATGATATATTAATCATTCATAAATACACTAACCCAAGTTTTAGAAAAAGTATGTATATACTTATATATTGAGCGGGGCAAGGCGGGGCGAGGCGACATAGGTCAATACTAATACCCGGATCCACCTCATTGTATAAGTGGGGCGGAGCGGATCCGCCCTATTTGCAAGATGGGGCGAGCCAGATCTGCCCCACATGTTTCGGGTCAGGGCGGGTCATTGTGGGCCGAGTTTTTTTGACATCCCTAGATATTGATAACATTTTACACACCGTTGTTCGAGTTCCATTTTTAGGTTTGTATATGTGGATGGGAAGATCTTGGGATGGGAGAGAATTTAACCGTAGAAATGGAATGAAATATGGGAACAATATTGTTGGGTTAATGGCTCAATGGGGGTTGGCCTAAAAACCGTTAAGGCTCATGCGGACGAACGTCCCCAAAAGGCCCAAGACAACCAGATACCCTCTCGATTATCCAGGGGACGTACGTATCCTAGCATAGGCAGGTACCTTGACTTAGGGGCAGCGGTTGACGCACGTCTCGCAGGACTTGGCCCAGCAGGAAACTCTAGCAGCCATGGGGACGAACGTCCCCAGAAGGCCCAAGACCACGGGATACCCTTCCAATTATCCAGGGGACGTACGTGTCCTAGCGTAGGCGGGTACATTGGCCCAGGAGCAGCACGAGACGCATGTCTTGGAGGACTTTGGGCCTAGCAAGAAACCAGAGGCAAGCTCATGGGGACGAACGTCCCCGCCCCTTTGCGGACAGCCAAGATCCTGACAGGATTATGCATTTAATACAGAAGATTTGGTGGTTATGCATTTATTGCAGAAGATTTGGTGGTTGGGATCAAGCCATCCACAGTTGGGTTCAACGCATCTAACTATCCATTGGCGGTATAAATAGTACTCCTTCTGTCCCAATTTGTAAGATACTTTACGGCTTACGATGTTTGACCGACGATAAAGTAAATTGATCCTTGTCACCACTCTAATTAGTTTTAGAAAATAAAATTTATATATTCAGAAACTACATTAAAACCGCTACAAAACCTGCAAAAAATGATTCAAATTTCATAAACTTTTGATATATAAAGTAAAAGATTAAGAGTGTTTTATGTTGACCAAGTGAATAGTAAATGTATCTTACAATTTGGGACTGAGGGAGTAGCATTTATTTCATTGTAAGGGGGGCAGCTTAGCACTCTCGTTTTATAGCATTCTTATTATCTCGTAACACAGCATCTGTACGAACAGCCTCACGCCTTGTAAGTATGAATGGCCTCACGCCTTAACAGTGGAATTAAACGAAGATTTCTTATTGGGCCTCACGCCTTCCATCTATGGGTTGAAGGAATAAATCTCAACACTGGCGCTATCTGTGGGAATCTGATCAAAAAGTTCTTCCAAAGCCAAGCTCTAAGATGAAAATAACTTTTGAACACTCAAAACAAGTAAGATGGAATTCAACAATGAAGGAAACTCCTATGATCTCTCTGAACGGCTGTCACACAGCCGAAGAGCACGCCAGCAGACAGAAATCGCCCAGTCCAGCATCTTGTGGAGCCGCGGAGACTTTGGGGTGCTTACTGACATGATTCCCTAATGCCCTGAGGGATATGGCGGATACCATCCACCGCTTGGCGGACGAGCGGGAGGCGAAGCGGGTGTATTCTGCTAGCATCGAGCATACCCCACTCTCTCCCCTCCGCAGTATGCAGACGCTCGGGGAGCGTACAGGCGAGAGCACGCACTCTCGCTCCTCGATCCATACACGGATCGTCAGGGACACACGGTCCCAGGATATGGAGGGAAACACCGGACGCAGGTTCTTCGGGGGGGGGGGGGGGGGGGGGGGCAGCTTAGCACTCTCATTTTATAGCATTCTTATAATCTCGTAGCACAACATCTGTACGAACGGCCTCATGCCTTGTAAGTACGAACGGACTCACGCCTTAACAGTGGAATTAAACCAAGACTTCTTATTGGGCCCCATCTTACTTGTTTCTACATCTACTTCTTTACTTCTTCCATTCGAAACCCTTGGATCGTGTGTTGAGCCTACGGGTTGAAGGAATAAACCTCAACAGGTATAAATGTGTAAACTGAAAACCATGTCCATTTGAAGAGGAGTGTGCACAAATAAAGGAGCTGTGAAACTCCCTCTTATATCAATATCTACAACATCTTTCAACTCTTTCCATGTGGGTTCAACCTACACATAAAATAATTCTCATTACCAATTTACCATTGGGACTTGTCATGAAGAAAAACAACTTGATTGGTATTATTAATAACTAAGATTGCCATGCCACCGCTGCAAAATCTCTCTGAGAAATCTGAACTTCTATCAAGAAGTTGCGAGACATATGTCCGTGTTGTTTATCAAAAAACATAGCAGCCTTGATTATTTTTAAGATAAATGAATAATGTTATAGTCAATAATATGAAACAGGAAGATTTACTGTCAATAGAATTTTGAATCCAAAAGTTGAAAAATCTCTAGGGGTAGTGGGTCTTGTTGAAATATTCAACCAACAGTAGCTGCCGTCGGCCGCCGCCTCCACCTTGGAATTACTGTCATTCCCTTTATTTTGCTGGTTTCCCTTTCGCTCCATGGATTTGGTGTTGTCTCCCTGATGGCCGTCGTCTCCAAAAAGAGCTCGAGCTCGCCTATTCTGGATGAAATCGGTGATTTTCTCTTCTCCTTGCAAGACATATCTTGAATTAGGACTTGCACAAGAAAAAAGGAGATGCTTTAGAGTCGCATATATATTCCGTAAATCGGTTTTACAGTAGTTTCTTTCAGGCAATGGAAAACAATTAATCAAAAAGCAATAACTCACATCATTCACATCAACCAAGATAAGAGCGGCTGAGATACTTCCTCCGTTCTTAAATAAATGCAAAAATCAACATTTCACACTTGTCGAGACACAACTTTGACCATTAAATAATAATGATTTTGTATTAGTAAAAAAATTAAAAAATTAGATTATGAAAATTTACAATGAGACAAGTTTAACAATATTTATTTCATAAAATAATATTACTACCTCCGTCCCTTAAAACTTTGCCAAAGTTGACCGGCACGGAGAATAATAAAGTAAAAACTGTGTGGTCGAGATTTGTGCAGAGGAGAGAGAAATAACAGAAACAACAAAATAATTGATTAAAAAGGAAACTGTCAAAGTTTTTTGGGACGTCCCAAAAAGGAAAGATTGACAAAGCTTTAAGGGGCGGAGGGAGTATTACATTAATAAATAAAACGTAGTCAAAGTAGAACATGTGAATAGTGTAAAAGGCAAAGTGTTGCATTTATTTAAAAACGGATGTAGTATATGACTGAATTCACTCTCAAGTGTTCAACAGACCCAACACGAAGTGCTCACAGGAAAATGAATAAACAAAGTGAATCACATTTGGTCAGTAATGGACAAGTGTGTACTTGTATTTTATGTGGACTCTAGTTTTATCTGATGTGAACCGTTGATATACTCTTTTGAGCAAGATTTTGACCATTTTTCACGCCGGTTTGTATATAGATAGATGTTATATTTTCTAAATTATTGAGGTTTTTACAGTTTTAGTTGGTTACATTGTCACTTGTGAATTGTGATAGATGAATAGATGAATGGTAAAGGATTTTATAACATTTATGTGTAAGCCCATCTTGGCTGAATCTGCCTCTGTTTTTTATTCATGTTTTTACATTTTTAGGGGGTGTCCTCAATATTGATTTTAATGGATTTTAAAGGATTTTAGAATTCAATCACAATCTAAGTATTCTCAATGTGGAATTCAATAGATTCCGTTAAAATAAGGGTGTCCTCAATCTTTCTATGGATTCTTATTACTATTTGTTCTAATGAATTTTCAAGGACTCTAATAGATTTCTATGCATAAAACATTCCATCCAAAATATTCTCATCCTCCTTGGATTTCAAAATCCATCTCCATCTTCAAAACCCACGTATGAAACCTGCGTATGAAAGCTTTCCATCTTTTTACTGTGGATAAGCAGGTGGTGATCCTGGGTTGCACATCCTTTAGAAGAAAATCCATGAAATATAGGTGGCACAAAGGTGATTCCATCTTTACAAAGCTTTCTCGGTGGATTTATGTTGTGAACTATATTTTCAGTTGGTTTGACTATCAGTTTTATCGGTTTCATCCTTTATGAAAGGAAGTAACCTCTGCAATGTAGTTCAAAATACAGACTTTGAAATTTTATTCTTTTGCAGTTTTGATTTTTCAGAATGTAAAGTAACGGATTTTCTGTTGAAATGTAAATTGTTTTCAATGATATCATTCCTGTTTTGAAGGCAGGAAATCATACCAAGAACAAAATCAACAAGTTTTGGATGCCGTAGCACCAACTGAACCCACTAGGAGGGATTACATGAGCCACCATGGATTTCATTAGGATGAAGAAGCCAACCAAAATGCCTAGGAGGGATTTCAAATTCCATGGATTTCATTAGAATCTCAAAGATTCTATAGAATTCCATAAAAATCCATTGAAATCTTAATCCTTTAAAATCTTATGAAATTCTAATTCTAGTTGGTTTTTACAGTTTTAGTTGGTTACATTGTCACTTGTTATATATAAGACCAACGCAATCAAACCATTTGGCTTTGGGCCAATGTGTCCCAGCCTGTTGATCCCGAGAAGAGTAGAAGTACATGAATATAACATAGAAAAGCTACCGAAGTAGGAGTAAAACAGTGTGATATTACGAGTAATATGAGTTGACATTCATTACAATGAGACAATCACTCCGGGTACAGACAGTACAAATTAACAAACTTATAACAAAAAAAGGTTACACTAATCTCTCAAGTTACAAAAAATATATCAGAAGTTACATAATAAATGCATTGTCATATCGCCCTAATAGAAACCGGCTTAAACAATGAGTTTGGAACTAAATATTTAACACACATGAAGAACAAGTAAACACAATTATATATAGATAGATACACACGAAGCAAAGAGAACCCCCTTTAATGTTTCTCATGCTTCTGTTGTTACACCCTAAATGAGATCAATCATGTACCAGGGTAAAGAAAGAAAAAGGTTCTTTACTGTGCTTTCCGCAGGTGTTCCAGCAATGACGTAGCCTTCCGTTTGGCCCTCTCTGTCCCACTCTTGGAAAGTTCTGTTAGAGGGATAAGTGCACCGAGCCTATTAAGTGATGAAAGATTCTCTGCATCTCTCTTGCACAGGGAGAGCAAAATAGCAGCTGCGTTTTCTTTGTTACGGGGAAGACCAGCCCTCAAGAGATCAACCAACACAGGGATAATATTAGCTTTTGTTATAGCAGACTTAGCATCTTGATGGCTAGCAAGAACCGAAAGAATGGTTAGCGCTTCGTCAACCATGCCACAGCTAGGGTCAGTCAGCATTTTCAACAAAGCCGGAATGATCCCTGACCGAATTGCCCGACCTTTATTTCCTTGATAAATGCACAGATTGAACAGAGCGGTTGCGGCATCTTTCTTCCCTCGGGTGGTCCCACTTTGGAGGAGCTCCACAAGTGCCGGAATTGCTCCTGATGCACCGATTATGATTTTATTCTCATCCCCAAGAGACAAACTAAAGATGGTGGCTGCCGCGTTCTCTCTTGCTTCCATGGTTCCTGCTCTGAGAACTTGAACAATGGAAGGAACAGCGCCAGCCAGCATAATTAGGGACTTATTGTTCTCATATATGGAGAGGTTAAGAATGGAGGTCACTGCATTTTCTTGAATATCTCCATCTTCGGAGGTCAACAGATTCACCAAGACTGGTATAGCTCCAGCTTCAGCAATCAAGATCCGGTTGTCTGTGCTTCGTTTGGACAGTGACCGGATCTCAGACACTGCTGACCTCCGTTCTTCAAGCAACCTACTTGACAGCTTCCGGGCAAGTGCTTCAATGGCAGAAACGTTTCCGTTGGCTTCGCAGATTGATCCATCACCCTTCTTTTCCCTTCGGTTGTTCAGCATTGTTGGCTGCTGGATGTTGTGTTTCACACACCATTGACTTATGAGGCTTCGTAAGACGTAATTCGGAGTGAGGGTAAGATGGTCGAGTTTTTGTCGGGTTTTAGGGCAGGTTTTGTTGCCACAGTCTATCCATTTCTGTATGTATGCTCTCTCATAAGTCTGCAGGATGAAGGGGAAATGCAAGACCATTTTAATAACATATCTTTGTTTCCTGGTTAGAATAAAGAACTTGCCATTAAATATGAATGTCTAAAAATAAATTGAAAGTCATATGTTAAGACCCAAAAATTGTTCGATATTATGTACTATGTGCCCCTATCTATTTCTTCTCTTTCCTTTTTTGTCCATCCCACTAAATTTGTCCCATACTATATTTCTATATTGGGTAATATTTATGCAGTCTAATTCATTTTCTACTTCATGCATACTTTATCAATTCAATATTAACCACATAACCAACCACACCACCTCCTCATGTTCCAATCTTTGTGGAACAGAGGTAGTAATATATATGGGACCTGTCATTTAAATGCTAAAATTTATAGCCCATTTGGAAAGGTAATTTTGGCTTAAATGGTCAAAATAACTGAATTTGTTGAAATTATGGCTGATACATCTCAAAATGTATTTGAAAAATAGTTTCATAAGAAATAAAAGAAAGCAATATCTCAACAGGGGAAGAAGTGACACCTCAATTCCTCTATCTTTTAGCAATTGATTCACAAAATATAGTTAAACAAAGTTAGTATTTGGTACAAAACTTGATTGATGAGGCTGAAAAGGAGAAAAGTTGTATCGCCAAACGGCACTTTGTCCACAACATGTTATAATTGAGACAATATTTTACTCCCTTCTGTTAATACCACGTTTAATATCAGGTTAATGGGTACTCTTGGCATGGCATATTGAATGCCGACATTGTCCCCCATAATTCCTAAATATTTAACAAACCGTAAACAATGATTTTGAGATGAAGTATGAATTGTTTCTAAATTATAAAAATTTGGAGACAAGATTCACAAAAAAAAATGAAAGGAAGGTTCGTAGATTACACAATTTCAAACAGTTAGGGGGGCTAAAAGTCTAATTTTCTGAAGAAAAAGTTAGAAGAATACGATCAATTTTGAAAGCATGCATAATTATATGTAGGTGATAGACTAACCTGCCCGGTTGCCACAATAACAGGATCCCTCATAAGCTCCAGGGAAATGGGGCAAAGAAAATCATCGGGAATCATAGGACATTTTGCTGTCTTCTTGCCGCTCTCTTCCACATTACTTTCATCACTCAAATCCTCGTCTTTGTCTTCCCCGACACAACCAGAAATAACAGGGACACAATCATTGGGCCCCACAGATGAACTAGTCGCGCTTTCTAATTCCTTACTCTTCCCACTAGATCCACATCCATTAGCAATGGAGACTGGTCCTTCAAACTTTGACCTCACTTCATGATCAATATTTCCAATATCTTTTATGTGCAAACTCCCAATTGTTCTGTTGTTTGTCTGGAGAGGATCTAGTTCGTTGTCCACAGGCTCAGATAGTGTGCGGGCTAATAAATTTGAATTCATGGACACGCCGTATCTTTCTGTGGCTCTTCTGAGTTGCGATCTGAGCAAGTGAACCTGTGAGAAAAATTGAAATATTTTGCTCATAGATGGTATAACCTGGTACATGTATGTTTACCCATCTAGATCTAATTACTCAGCGTCAGATCAATTTCATCAATGACAAATCTTTAGGCCATTAGAGTGACTTAGGTCTAGTTTATTACCATATCCAATGATGAAGTATAAGTTATATAACCATATTCAAATGCTCCTTAAAGCTATAACCGACCTGTTCTGTTAATTCCTCGGATATCTCCAAATGATCATACGGCAAGTTTGCAAGGG